CCCAACTGTAGCCACGGTATTCCCGTGTTCTTCGCTGAACACTTGCAGCAAAAAATAAGAGAGAGAGAGAGAGAGAGAAAGTTGATTCAAAAATGTACACCTGAGAAAGCAATAAAAATGTTCATTTTAATAAGTCCCAACCCTCCAGGGCCTCTCTTTTTAATATTCTGTGGGACGGAATGGGGAGTATATAGGAAGTGCTTCTGCCACACACCAAAGTCAGATGGCTGTCTCACAAAAGCACTGAAGCAATCGAGTTTCAAATGGAACTGGTCGCTTCTTTTTTATTTGAAAGAACTAACTGACAAACAAACCATGGTTATTCAGACTTAATATCTGGTAACTATGTTCTTAGAAATTAAAAAAGAAATTTAAAAAGAGAGCCTATCACTTCAAAGGGGACAATTGACAATATTTTTGCCAATGATAAAATTTGACTGTCTTACAAGTAAAAATGAGAATATTAGAAAATTTGTATCCTAATATGTACAATTTTTCCTGATGAAGTATAATGAGTGACTATGATACTTTTCATACAGTAAAATGAGATAAATAACATTGGAAGATCCACTTAATTCAGTAAACGGATCATTTCCAAATGACCACTGTATGCCATTACAAATCGTGCATGGGTAAGAGGTCCACTCAATGAACTAACGAGTTTTACTATAATAGAGTATGAAAAGTGTATTGAAATGGATGTAAGTGTCACATTGCAACTAACTTTTTAAAAATTACTGCTTGAATGACTTTGGAATAATATCAAAGACTACCCATGATTGTCTGAAAAAGCTATTACAATGCACCCTCCTTTCCAACTATATAGCTCTTTGAGGTGAGATTTTCCTCATTTATTTCAATCTATGTGACATATCACAATAGATGGAATGCAGAAGCAAAAATGAAGATCCCGCTGCCTCTATTAAGTCAGAGATTAAAAAGAATTGCAAAATATAAAACAACATTTTTCCATTTTTTTTGTTTGGAAAAACATTATTGGTTTTCACTAATATGTCATGGGTTTATCATTTTTATAAATTAAGTGACAAATATTTTAAACATGCCTCCAATTTTGATTTCTAATACACTGAGTATTAATAAACAAAAGTTTTGTGGAGTCCTAAAATTAAAAAAACAAAAAATTGAGAAGTGTTGTACTAAAAAGAAGGGACCAATCAGAAGGCGCCAGAAAAACTGTTCTCTAAGACATGCTGTTGCATAATCTCAAACATACCCCTTTATAACTCCAAATGAATGGTGTTTGTTATTTAAATATGACTAATTTACATTAGTGTTCTTTACATAACAATGTGTTGTAGAAATGTAATATAAAATCCCCAAATGCAGCAAAACTCATTATAATCAGAGTTGGGTTTTTTTGTTTTTTGTTTTTTTGTTTTAGTTTTTGCTATAGTGCATGTGCATTCACTGGAAAGAAAGAGGAAAAGTGAGAAATCACCCCCCACCATCCCTTCTCCTTCAAGTCTCCTCTCAGAATTTTGGGTACGCACACACACGTTCCCAGTGAGATTTCAAAGCCACGGAGTCTGGGACTTGAACAGCACAGTCGCCATGTAGAACTAATAAGTGACACATAGAATAATTGTATTGTGTGAGCTTTTACCAGGTGTCAGTGATTCCATTTCATATCTGAAGTCCCTTTTGATATTTGGTGTTTTTGTTTTGTTTTGTTTTGTTTTTGAGAGGTTTTTGCTACAGAGCATGTGCGCTAGCCAGAAAGACAGAGACAGAGGGACAGAAAGCGAGAAATCACCCCCTCCCCAGGGGGGATGGCCACGCTTCAATCCCTTCTCCTCCATTCTCCTCTTGAGATCTTGGACACATATGCACACGCACCCAGCGTGAGTTTAAGCCACTGAGTCCCGGATTCGATCGAAGGTTGACTACATGGGAGTCCAGCAACATAGCCATTATGCCAACTGCTGGCCCCCCCTTTTTTATATTTATAATTATCATTTTTACAACCTTTCCACAGACCTGAAACAACTGAATGTACTATCTAGCAAACAAATTACAGTTACTATATAACAGTCTATTCATTTTCCTACTTCAGATTAACTACACAAGTCCAGCAAGCAAAACAATAAAATTTTAGTTAATCTGTCCGTGGGAATCATGCAAGTTTGACTTATATTTTTGAAAATTTAAAGTAGGTTGTATACTTCTTTGCACTCCATTAATACCTTCATAAGTCATTTAATACAGAAACTCAAGGTTGAGAAACTCTGTGACATAGAGGGTTTTGGGTTTGCTTTGTGATTAACCTAGTTTTTGGTCTCTAACATCATGATAGAAATAAATTTACCCATTTTTGCTCAGTCATCAGACACCTACAAGTTCAGTCTTTGCACCCTTTACAGGGATATGCTACAATTTCCTAGTTGACAAGCAAGACGGTGTAAAACACCTGGGCTCTACACTCAGAAAGTGGCTTTCCAGCCAGTAACTGTGTAAACTTGGGGAGGTAGTATAAGCTCTTTGACTTCAGTTTTCTTATATGTAAAATGTCTTATATAGCTGGTATGTGGAACAGGAAATGATAACCATTATTACTAAGCAAATAAGTCAAGTTGTGCTATGAATCAATATATTATTTTAAAAGTTGAAATGACTGATATTTCATATTATTGCCAATTCATAGCAATTATTTTATTTATATTATTTCAATTTATTTATACTATTTTATTTATATTTTATTAAATTTTAAAAAATTATTTAATTTAATTTCTTTTAATTTGCTACAGGGCTCCTATGCTTATCAGAAAGAGACAGAAAGAGAGAGAGGGAAAGTGAGAAAGCAAGCCATCACGTCTGGGACTCAAACCGTGGTCGGCCATGTGGGGGTCCAGCACCTTAATTACCATGCCACCTGCTGGCCCAAGCAAATTTTTTTTTTTAAAGAAACTTTTTGATTGGTCTTTGGTACACATTTTCCCACCTGTAAAACATGGGCTAAAACATACGTCTGTGTTTAATGTGCAATCGCTCTTACACATTTAAAGGGAAATAATGTTGGTCCCTGGCAGAGTTAAAAATTGCTCAGGCATATCTTTAAACACAAAGAACACTCTGCTTTCGGAGCCCAGGCTAAATCCCATCTCATGGTTTCACAGATATAGGGGAACCCAAGAGAAGGAGCAGGGCATTTGGTTTTTCTTAGGATTGGGAATCAAATTTGAAAATCCTCCCATCCAGATTTACCTGTTTTTTGCACCACCTAAGACCGTAAGTTAGTCCTTTCCTTCTTGTCTTCTGATTCCTCCTCATCCCTCTCAAATGCAAACTTAACATTTCCCTATAAATGTTGTACTACCTTAATTAGTATTCATCATTATTTTGGGAGACTCTGTTCTCCCAGCATATGGACTTTCCATGTTAATAAAACTCCTGGCAATTGTGTTATTGAAATACAAAGGTGCATTTCTAGAATTTATTACGATGTTTAAAAAATTACACTGGGGCCAGCAGGTGGTGTGGTGGTGAGCACAGGGTTCCTACACAGCTGACTGCAGTTCAAGTCCCAGACCTGGCTGCTTGAAAATCACACTGGGCCTGTGTGCATGGGTGCCCAAAATCCCAGGAAGAGAATGAAGGAGAAGGGGTTGCTATGTGGCCATCACTCCAGGGAGTGATTTTTCACTTTCCTTCTCTCTGTCTCTCTCTGAGGAGTACACATGCCCTATGATCAAAAGCAAAAAGGAAGAAAAGAACATAAAAACTAAATAACATATAAATAAATAAACAACTACATTAAAAGTTGGTATAATCGGACTTGCCTGTGGCCTGGTAGCTACGGTGGCTGGATCCCACATGGCAGCCTCAGGCTTGAGACACACCAGAGTGCAAGCATGCCCGAAATCCCAAAGGAGGGAGATAAGCAGATATCATAAATATGTTTATTCATAACTGTAATACAATTAAAAACAGCTTGTGTCACGATAAATTCTATAATTAAAAAGTGTAATCCTTTCCTATTTTCCAAAGGCATGTCAGGGATTACTTAGAGTGTTTAACTGATCATAGATTCATGGAGTAAGGTACAACCTTGCTCCTTTAACATACATTTTCATTTGGATAATTTAATAGTTATCACTTTCTAAAAGCTACTTAGAAATGGTTGTAATAGCCAGTCTTTAAATTTTAACATTGATTTCTCTCTTCTTCAAAACAAACAAACCAAAACTGGTCCACATGTGTATTTTCGTATTTCAGACCAAAATATGCCCATTTCTGAAGAATTGTTGAGTTGGAGAAGATACACAACGCCGCTTCAAGGATTCTGCAAACTCAAGTGCTCTGGCTACTCAGCGAGGTAGCTTTTCAGGAAAGCCCAGGACTCAGGAATCTCAGTCGGGACCAATCCGAGCTGCCTCGGCTTGGCACTTTGGGAATGGAAGCTGCGCAGCCGCCGCCTGGCCGCGCTCTCAGACTCACACCAGGGAGAAGTGGCCGAGTCCTCCCGATTTCTCTTCCGAGAAGCCTGGGTATCGTCACCTCAGTGATCAACGAGTGTCTGGATCCGTAGTTCCTAACTTTTTCTAATGAGAAAAGCCATTTTGAAATTCAACACAATGTAACAGACCCCACCATCACCACCATCCAAAAAGCTGTGGTAGACATACTTTTTAAGTTCTGTATTGACTGGAAACACTTAAGGACGCTTCAAAAATCCAGTCGACTCTGGACTTTTTAAACGCCCATACACTGTATCTTATTAATGGTAGCATTTGCATACATCTGGATTTGCTTGCTTGTTGATGCTGTACGCTGCGTTTACAGGAACGGCACGCTGCACAGAAAGTTTTGCCCAGCCCCTTGCACCAGGGGACCCCCACCCCGACCCCGCACCCAGGGCGCGCAGGTGGCTGCTACCGTGGACTTAAGAGACGAGGGTTCCAGCCTTATACCCCAAACGTCCACTTAAACCCAGTTCCCAGGGACAGCAGGGCGCTCTTCCTGCCTGGAGACCGAGCTTCGCGGTGCATCTGCTGCCCCCTATCGGTTATGAGAACAATAGCCAGAGCGGGTTAGAATCCACTGGAAGAGGCCTCTTGAATAAAAGAATATTCCAGGATTGCGCAGCAGCGACTGGACTCGCAGAGAGCCCGTTTTCCGCAGTCAGCTCCGACTGCCTTGTTTGAATGCACTTGTTCCCAAGTGAAGTTGAGAATATTGGATCGCTAAGAGGCAACTGACGACTGCTTTGGTGACGGGCAGGGGGGCGGGGACAGGATCCACCCAAGGTTCAATTTGTTTTCCGCCCTCCTAGTCCTTAGGAAAAGCACTTGCCCGCAGCCGGGATGGGGACGTCCATTATAGCACAGCGTGGCGTTTCCCCAAGCCTCTGAAGGCACCTGTCACCCTATTACACCTTGAGTGAGTTCAGTGGCCTGTGCTGCGGAGGTGACAAAGGCCGCCCTCCCTGAGAGGCTGCCCACGGCTGTGTCCAGGAATGGCCTTCCCACAACGGCTGTTTCTTCCCGGGTCCCTTCGGTGGGAATCTGTATGTGCTCCAGAAAAGTCAAATGAATGCTGAGAAGGAAGTTCCCGGCCGCCCCTCCTCCACGGATGGCTGTCCGTGTGCAATTTTCTCCTAGGGCTGGACATTTAAAATGTGCCTCCACTTGGACACAGCCATCACGGCTAGCAGGCTGGGAACGGGGTGTTTGTGTGCGTGTGCGTGTGTGTGACAGACTGTAACATACTCTGGTTTATTTTCATTATTTTCTCCCACTTCATTACCACCCCCTCCCAGTGCAGTCTTGGCAGTCTCCCGACTTGTCCACTCATGTCCATGTTTGCCTGGGTGCTTTCGGGAAGAAGGGAAAACACAAGGAGACGGTGAGTAGAAGGGAGGGAGGGGAGCTGCAGAGCCGGCTTCCACGCCAGACGGTGTGTTTCCGCAGGCGGTGGCCGAGGGGCTTCGGAGGACGACGGAAACCCCTGGGTCGGCTCCCTGCCCAAGGGTCGGCACCCAGCCTGCCAGGGGCCGCAGGAGAGCCGAGGTCCCCC